TTTGAGTTCCCATGGAAGACCATCCTGGAGGAAGGGAGAGAGATTCTAGGTGGGGGAGGTAGAAGCAGTGACAGCGAAGGGAGAATCCTTGAGATAAGAGAGGGATAAAAGTCTGTAGATTCGGTGACTTTGGGGAACTTGTAACCTAACCTGGCTAGTCCCAGGGAGATTCCAGGACCCTAGAGGGGACCAGAAGCTTAGTGCATCAAGAGAGATTGGATCCTGGTTTTCTGTGTCTGACTGTCACTTCCTGACCATAAAACTTTACTTATAAAAACAGAAGTTTGGGCAGACTTAGCCCATAGAACATAGTTTGCTGATCCTTGAATCAGAATATGTTCATTTCACAACCCTCAGTGCATTAAAAGATATGGGCCTCATGCATCAGTGGATGTCAACATCATTTTTAAAAAGTGAGATGAGGGGCGCCTGGGTGGCGCAGTCGGTTAAGCGTCCGACTTCAGCCAGGTCACGATCTTGCGGTCCATGAGTTCGAGCCCCGCGTCGGGCTCTGGGCTGATGGCTCAGAGCCTGGAGCCTGTTTCCGATTCTGTGTCTCCCTCTCTCTCTGCCCCTCGCCCGTTCATGCTCTGTCTCTCTCTGTCCCAAAAATAAATAAACGTTGAAAAAAAAATTTAAAAAGTGAGATGACCAGGCATTGTGTGCCTCCTATAGTCTTGCCAAAGGACACAACCAGAGTCTAATTCAGTCTCTGGATGCATCTACATATACGCAGGAAATATAGGACACAGAGAAATATGTTGAAATGCACCAAGAGTATGCAATCAGCAAAATCTGGACTGTGGGAAACTGCACAAGTCAAAAGGATTGTTGGACAGATTGGATAAAGTAAAAGGATAGAGGGATGAGGAGATACAAGTTGAAAGAGATTTAGGGTTGTATTGTTTTGGAGAAGGATGGGCAGGACTAAACTCCAGTTTGGGGATGTATGTACTATAGGGTGAGCGTTATAAAAATCAGCCCTGGAGAGGTTTGTGATTGGAAAGGGGCCCCTGGATGGTGCTTTTGGGGTGGGTGGCAAGATTCTATTTCTTGATCTGGTGGTGTTGATAAGAATGTTCACCCTAAATTGAGCTATGCATTTGCTTTGGGTTTTGTTTGTTTGTTGTATTTATGTTTTATTTTGTAATTAAAAAAATATTTCTTATTTATTTATTTAAATTTATTTATTTAAATTTAAGTTAGTTAACATACAGTGTAGTATTGGTTTCAGGAGCAGAACACAGTGATTCATCATTTACATATAATGCCCAGTGCTCATCCCAACAAGTGCCCTCCTTAAAGCCCATCACCCATTTAGCCCATCCCTCCACTCACCTCTCTCCATCTACCCTCAGTTTGTTCACTACAGTTAAAGAATCTCAGGACTCCTGGGTGACTCAGGGGGTTAAGTTCTGACTTTGGCTCAGGTCATGATCTCACGGTTCCTGAGTTCAAGCCCCACATCAGGCTCTATGCTAACAGCTCAGAGCTAGGAGCCTGCTTTGGATTCTCTCCCTCTGCCCCTCCCCAACTCGTGCTCTGTCTCTTTCTCTCTCAAAAATAAATAAACATTAAAAAAAATTTTGAAGAGTCTCTTTGCTTTGTCTCCCCCCAAAAAGAGTTCTAAGGACGACTTAAATTTGGAGCTGCTAGGTGCCATTGCTCCTGTATGCAGAAAGCTGCTTTGGGAACGAAGTCCTGCCCAGAGTAACACAGGGTCTAGAGACAGAATGTGAGACATTAAGTTGTTAAAAAACAAATTTCAACTGAATAAATTTGAAGATCTAATTGGCTTTATTCAGATATTATGATTTGGGTGGCATCGCATCTAATAAGTAGAGAGATGCTCCATGGAGTTGTACAAATGGAAGGTTTTCATAGGCAGTAGGGTGGGACAAGAAGGTATTAGTAAAAGAAATGATTGATTCGGACCTGAACATTTGGTGGGGGGAGGGGATGGCAGGTTTTGTTTATTTATCATGCTGGTCACTTCACTACTGCTGATCAGGAAATTTCAGACCGGCCTTTAAAGGATCACATTCCTGGGACTGTCATTAAATCTTGGTTTGCTGTAATGGGTGGACAAATGACTCCATTTGGGGCTTAAAAAAATTTTTTTTATGCTTTTATTTTATTTTTGAGAGAGAAAGAAGAGTGTGAGCAGGGGAGGGGCAGAGAGAGAGGGGGGAGACAGAATCTGAAGCAGGTTCTGGGCTCTGAGCTGTCAGTGCAGAGCCTTTTTAAAAAACAAACGAACAAACAAAAAAACAAAAAACAAAGTCCATGATAATCTTGTTTGATTACCTGCATCCAGGCATTTCTGAAGCTTGATGTATCCATGGAATTTTCATTTATATGAACCAAGAAAGTCCCTTTTTATTTATACTGCTTTGGTTTGTAACCAAAGGAGTTAATCCACGTATCTGTAGATCCTCAAAAGGCTGGTAAATGTTCCTCAAGAAACTGCTGGTTTTGTTGGATTTTTGGTGATTGCTTTAACTATCTGTGGTAACTCACATTCTCTGCCACACACAGGCAAATCTGTTCTTCATTCTCCTGACAGTCTTGAAAGCTTTATTCCATATTTCATAATGATGGGGTCCATTGTCATTCACTAAGGTATGGTTCATTCTGACCTTGTTTGCAAGTTGGGAGAGGTCACTGAAGGACAGGATGGGAAGGAATGTTCTATCAAAAGAGAATAGGTGCCTGGGTGCCTCAGTGGGTTAAGCGTCTTACTCTTGATTGTGGCTCAGGTTATGATCTCATGGTCACGGGATTGAGCCCCTTGTCGGGCTCTGTGCTGAAAGTGGAGGCTGTTTGCGATTCTCTCTCTCTCTCAAAATAAATATATAAACATTTTTTTAAAAAAGGGAATGGGGGGGCGCCTGGGTGGTGCAGTCGGTTAAGCGTCCGACTTCAGCCAGGTCACGATCTCACAGTCCATGAGTTCGAGCCCCGCGTCAGGCTCTGGGCTGATGGCTCGGAGCCTGGAGACTGTTTCCGATTCTGTGTCTCCCTCTCTCTCTGCCCCTCCCCCATTCATGCTCTGTCTCTCTCTGTCCCAAAAATAAATAAAAAAACGTTGGGAAAAAAAAAGGGAATAGGGGCGCCTGGGTGGCTCAGTTGCATAAGCGTCTGACTTCGGCTCAGGTCATGATCTCACGGTTCGTGGGTTCGAGTCCCACGTCGGTTCTGTGCGGACAGCTCAGAGCCTGGATCCTGCTTCCGATTCTGTGTATCGCTCTCTCTCTCTCTCTCTCTCTCTCTGCCCCTCTCCCACTCATACTCTGCCTCTCTCTCAAAAATAAATAAACATTAAAAAAAATTTTTTTTAAAGGGAATAAAAATCCCATCAGCTGGAACGGTTGACACATTGGTGGGATAATCTGAGGCCTCAGGGAAGCAGTGAGCAGTCATGTGTTTCAGGTATCATTCACTCATTTGTTCATCGCATATTTATTTATTTCCAAGCACTAAACATAACAGTCTCAGGCTCAGCTTTCAGGAAACTCATAGCCGGGGTTGGCAGGGTGGGGTGAAGAGCTATGTGGTACAACCTGGGGAACTCTTGAAGGCTTATTTGTCTCTGGTATGATTCGTTTTCTGTTCTAACTTCTGAAATTTCCATCATATGAATTATTTCTTAATGTTGTTGTAATACTCCCAGGAGGTCCCATTTAGAATGCAAAAATGTATTTAAAATGTGTTAACTAGAGGAGTGAGCACACTTTAGGACACAATATCACTATGGTGAAGAGTAGGAGAGGACAGATACTTTTTAATTTTTTTTAATAAGGCCCACACCCAACATGGGGTTTAAACTTCCCTCCCCCCCCAAAATAAATAAATAAATAAATAAATAAATAAATAAATAAATAAACTTCCCTCCCCAAGATCAAGAGTTGGATGCTCCACCCAGGACGGATGCATTTTGATGAGAAGACAGTCTCTGGAAAGAATCTACAGCCCTGGGCAGCCAGGTGGTATTGTCTAAGGTAAGGGACGGGGTAGGGAAAAGGAATGGTTGAGAAATGCCTACTATTTCACCAGCTTTCTTGGGTTTAGGTGATACCCATGCCTTGAATATCTCTCCCTGGTAAGGAAGTGGACTTATTTTGTATTCTAGGCTTTGAGGTCAGACAGATCTGTGTTTGAATCCCAGCCTTGCTACTTACTAGAAAGCACCAAATTACTTCTAAACTCAGCCTCAGTTTCCTTATCTGTATAATACAGAGAAAATCTTCACCTTACTGGATGGTGGGGGGGTAGTAAAAGATATTAATGTATATAAAGAGCTCAGCCCACAGCCCAAGCGCATTGGTTTTTCTCAGTGAATGTTAGTTTCCCTTCTTGGTTGAATAATCTTATTCATTTAATGGCATTTAGCTCAAAAAGACAAGAAATTTCAAACGGCTCTTTATATCAGCTTTACAGATGGGGGTGGAGGGGGAAGAAAGAGATAGAGAAAGAAAGACTGACCTAGTCCAATCTCATTCAGTTGACATTCCACAATCACATTTCTCAATATTCTAGAATCTTTCTATTTATTTTGTAGTATTTCTCTTCCTGGCCTATGTTAGCCCCTAAGTCAGACCCTAACTAATCCCCTCTATATCAGAGACAAGGGGTCATAGAGTTCTTCCCATTGTTTTTGTGTTCTCAAAGTATCACCTTCGGGTGCCTGAGACAATCAGGAAATGAGAGGAATTTCCTTTTTTTGGCAACAAGTAATTAAAAATAATGATTTATTGAAGGTTGGCTATGAACCAGGCAATTGGGCTCTGCATCTTACATGTTTCTTTAATGTTTACAACAACCAGGTGTGTGGGGATTATTATCTCAGACTTACAGAGCCCTGTAGGGTTGTTTTGAAGATTAAATGAAATCATGTTGGAAAAGTGCTTAGAACATCTAGATTCAATAGAAGTTAGCTGTCATCATTACTATTACTTTTCAGTGAGGAAATTGAGGGTCCAGTTAGTTACAATACCCACCTAAAGTCAACCAGCTAGAAGGTTGAAGAAGGATCCCAGGTCTTGCTGTCCTTAAAGTCAATGTGAGAGATCCACCATGTTTCATAACATCCTGACTGAAATGACAAAACATTAATCAATTTGAATAATAACAAAAGTTTCAACCCTTTCTTAACTCATAGTCTAGAAAATGTTAACCGTGATTTTGGGCCAACACATTCCCGTCACTCTCCCACAACCCCTTGGTTAAAAAACTCGTTTTACAGATGCCAGTTGCAGTCCTTACCAACTTCCAGAGCACAGTCTTAGAATTCTCAACTGCCTTTCCAGATCCATCTCTCACTTTTTCTCATATGATTAGTGAGTACTATGGTGTACATCTATGGTGTACCCTAACTTTTCTCTTGGCCCTGGGATTGTTCTAGGGATGAGCACTGATCCAAGCCTGGACGATCAGCACTTTTTTTCCCCCAGGATTTCTCAAACTTGAATTAAGGGTATTAGTTCTTTTCTAATGGTAGAAATAGCCAGATGCAAAACTTGGGAATGCCGTATTTCCAGATATACAAAGAATGTCAGTCTTGGGAACTTGGCTGATTTAGTTGGAAGAGCATGTGACTCCTGATCTTGGGGTTGTGAGTTTGAGCACCATGTTGGGTGTAGAGATTATTTAAAAAAATAAATTAAATAAAATTAAAAAAAAAAAAAGCCAGTCTAGGGGTGCCTGGGTGGCTCAGTCGGTTGAGCGTCCGACTTCTGCTCAGGTCATGATCTCACAGTCTGTGAGTTCAAGCCCCGCGTTGGTCTCTGTGCTGACAGCTCAGAGCCTGGAGCCTGTTTCAGATTCTGTGTCTCCCTCTCTCTCTGCCCCTTCCCCACTCATGCTCTGTCTCTCTCTGTCTCTCAAAAATGAATAAATGTTAAAAAAAAATTAAAAATAAAGCCAGTCTTGAGCGAAACTGAAGCCAATGCAGCAAGGGAAGCAAGGAGAGAGCAAGAAAGATCTGGTAATGCTGAAGTTACTGGTTCCAAAATTTCCTGAAGCCTCAGTTCATTTTTCCCCCCATCTCCCACTTTCAGTTGATTATTCAGCCATTTTTCTTGATTCCTTGAACTAATTCTTCTCCTTTATTTTTGCCCAAGCAAGTTCAGGTTGGGTTTCTGTCACTTGGAACCAACAAATCTGGATAACATAAATATCATATAGTCACAACTAAACTGGACTGCCTGCTGATCCTGACCACACTTTTGCTTATGCTGTTCTTTGTGCCTAGAATGTTTCCTATTCCCACATGTCTCAACTAACCACTCAGTCTTCAAGGCCTCATCCCTCATGCACTATCTCTGATCCAACTGTAAAAATTAAACTATCCCCCTTCTAAGCTCCCCAGTCCTTTAATTTTTTTTTTTAATTTTTTTTTCAACGTTTATTTATTTTTGGGACAGAGAGAGACAGAGCATGAACGGGGGAGGGGCAGAGAGAGAGGGAGACACAGAATCGGAAACAGGCCCCAGGCTCCGAGCCATCAGCCCAGAGCCTGATGTGGGGCTCGAACTCCCGGACCGCGAGATCGTGACCTGGCTGAAGTCGGACGCTTAACCAACTGCGCCACCCAGGCGCCCCACCCAGTCCTTTAAAAGGGGAGAAAAGTTATCTTATTATACTCAGAACTCTCTAACTTGTGTTATAATTATTTATATATACACCCTCTCTACTATTTTCTTTCCAGAACAAAGATTTGCCTTGTTCATCTTGTTCCCACTGTGCTACCACAATGTCTGGCATGGATACCACTGTATAAATGTTAGTTCTTTTCTTCTTCCCCTTCTCGTGGTAGGCACACTGCTTTCCTGTAGCTTCATTATCTTCCCCTGGCATCAACATTCCATTGCCTGCTGCTGAGTGAGAAAACGTTCATCTGCGTCTGCCCCAGGCAGTTGTGTTTTGATGAAATAACACTAACAAACTGTTGTGAAAAGAATTTAATTTATCTGAAAATGGTTATTGCATTGTAGGCTTAAGGAACTATGTGAGAGAATTGGTTAGTGCAGCTTAGATGGTGGGTTGCCCTGGTATATGTGATATTTCATCTAGAATGTGGATTTCGAGTGGGAAATCCACTCGAAGGCTTGTATTCAGCAAGAAGGGACTCCATTTCCCAAAGGACTACCTGTTTTTAGTATCTCTGCTTCCTTTCAAACCTCTTTGCCAGATCAAGTATTTGTTAGTGTTAGTGAGGAAAGAGGTAATGAAGGTGTTCTCATATGCAGATATGTTAAAAAAAATTCCAGGCAACTTTTGAGGCTTGGGGGTTGGTGTTTTGAGAATACATTATTATCAAAATACGTAACTTTTTATATTTAGCTCTCAGCTTCCCTCTCAGATTCTACCACCTGGATGAAGTTCTCTCTCTTCTGCAATCTATATTCTCTTTTCTGAGTTCTCAGAATATTTATTTCTCTGCACTTTCTTTTAGTTTGCATCACACTGCTTTTTAGTAATGGCTGTGTGTGTGTGTGTGTGTGTGTGTGTGTGTGTGCAAGTCTTTAAATAAATTTAACTGGTTTTGAGTTTGGCCTATTTCAAATCTTACCTGTACCCAGAGAAAATTATAATGCTTACACACTGGTTAAAGGATGATGTATTCCAGGGGACCTATTTTTTTTTTTTTAATTCCTTTTTCAACGTTTATTTATTTTTGGGACAGAGAGAGACAGAGCATGAACGGGGGAGGGGCAGAGAGAGAGGGAGACACAGAATCGGAAACAGGCTCCCGGCTCTGAGCCATCAGCCCAGAGCCTGACGCGGGGCTCGAACTCATGGACTGCGAGATCGTGACCTGGCTGAAGTCGGACGCTTAACCGACTGCGCCACCCAGGCGCCCCAAAGGGGGACCTATTAAAATACCTATCACACATTTACAAATATCAAGTTACAATAAACATCTTGTCCTTCCTTTGTATCCTGCCTCTTTGGAGGAGCAACGGGATACACAAGTTTCAGAAGTTGGGCACCTGACTTTACAGTTTTGCTCATTCAACCAATGAAAAATATATAGGAATAGAATCCACATTGTTGGTTATTTAGCTATCTTTTTATGGATATGTATCTCCATCTTTATTTTTATTTTTTAATGTTTATTTTTGAGAGAGAGAGAGAGAGAGAGCGAGAGCAGGGGAAGGGCAGAGAGAGAGACACACAGAATCTGAAGCAGGCTCCAGGCTCTGAGCTGTCAGCACAGAGCCTGACATGGGGCTTGAACCCACGAACTGTGTGTATCTCCATCTTTCATTTTCAGAACTGTAGAGGGCATGGACCTACTTTGTATAGCCTATAGTTCTAGCGTGATGTATTATACACGGTAGGCACCGATAAATGTGAGAAATGATTGAATGATACATACACTCTCTTACAGTTTCTTTGCAGGATAACATGACTAAGAATAAAGTGCTATTAGTCATCTGAAAGTCTTTTTTGTAAGGAAGTGGAGTATAAATAAGCACATAAATAAGAATAAGGTATCATTATCACATTTTGGAAAAGCCTCTTGGCCTCTGATCTGCAATATTACCAGGATCAGAAAGACTGGCTGAGGGAACAATTGGGGACCAAGAATGTGAGGTAGAATTCATTCTCTTTTTCTGGTATTTAAACACAAGCTGTAAGAACAAAATGTTTCTAATTAAGATACCACTGATTTTTCCCTCCATTAATTCCATTTTTCTTCCAAGCTAATGGGTGTATATAATGACTCCACATCAAAGACTCTTCCCTAATGGTTTAAGAGATGTGAGTTTTATTAGAACAAAGCAGAATTCACAAGCCACAACAGAGCAACTTGTCAAAGTTATTTCAGAGTTGATTTACAAATCATTCTTCATTGTGTGTGCTGTGCTTCTAAACCTCCTTCTCCAAGATTGCTTCAGCTGTTTGCACTTCCTCTTGCTAAGTCCTTCCCCTCCATACTCTTCTCACCTTGCACTCTCCTCACATGATATTATAATGATCTATTTTCTTCCCTATCACCTTCTATTAGACCAGAAACTCCTTGAGGGCAGGTATTACATCTTGCTCAACTTAGTACATTTGGTGCCTTGCAAAAGCTCTGATCTCTTAAAAGAATGAATGATAACAGTGCCTCACATTTATACGGCACTTTAGACTTAGAAAGCAGTTTCCTATGTTATTTAACTTCCATGATATTCTGAGGCAGGCAAAAAACCCATTATCATCCATTTTTACAGATCTGAGAAGTTCAGAGAGGCTGTGTAACGTAAGGGAAAATAGGCTGCAATTTCAGGAGACACCAGAACTAATGACTATGGATTCCAGCTCTAGAGTCCTTTTCTGAACATTGGAGCTGCTCGTTTTCTGAGCCATGTGGCAAAGGCAAAGCAGACTTATTCCTTGAATGCTTTTAACTTTCTGCCTCCACACTTTGCTCCTCTCTTGGGCCTCTTTTACTTCTGACCTAGCCTTCCTGATAGGGAAGTTGAAAGATTCCATAAAAATCTACTTTTTGTTCCGTTTCCTACTTCTATTCTTGCTGGGACCTGCACCCCCACTTCATACATGCCTCATAAAGCAAATAGTGTATGTTCTCCTTGTAAGGGATGAGGAGTTAATTTCTTTAGAATATATTACATCTAAGGAAGGACCAGGTGAGAAAGACCAGAGGAAGCCATCATCTGTGTATTCCAGACCACCAGCGCTAGACATCTCGATGCCAAGAACCCCTAGCTCCAAGAAATAAGACGTAGGCCCTTGTCTTTGTTCCAGTGGGTTCCTGGATGCCTGAGAGGACATGCACACTGGACCATAATCCTTAATAAAAACCCCAGATCCTGAGCAAAGATGAGACTCTCTCTCCTTCCCTTTCTGTACTCTACGCCTTCAATAAACTGCATTCATCTCCTGCTGACTCCTATTTGATTTCTATCTTGTGAATAGCCAGGGACCATCTTGGCTGCTCCTGTGAAACCTCCTGTGGGTCCTCAGTCCATCACTACTTTTTATTTAGGAGCCACATATTTCCTATGTGCAGTTGAAAAATGAAAAATATATACTCTTCTGTTGATTCTCCAGTTCCTCTGCCTGGGACCTCTTCGTTGAGGTGTAGGATTGTGGAATATGTGGCATGAGATGGGTATGATGTGTAT